ATATATATATATATATGTATATTGTATTAGTCCTAACCACTGTACCTAAACAGGTAGAAAAATAGAGCATGTTACATTTAACCTAGTTGACTTTGTGCATATCTATCTAACCTAAATTGAAAAGGAAATGTATATAATTTAAATAAAGAGTAATTTTAAAACCAGTGGTATTTTTTTAAAGTGATGTTTTTATAATATTAATTAATAAATATTTTAAAATTAATTTAAAATTGATGTCGATGACATTAAGGGTTGTAACATAGTGGACTACAAAATCATTTTGTTGGTCCAATTTCTAATCCGAGCCCACCGTTCAAGTAGATTGGACCTGTCCAATTTAACATACACCCTAATAATAATAATAACAAATATATTATTTGTCCAATTATTTTTGTTTTGATAATTTTAAATCTATTTAAATGATACATATGATCATTTTTTTAATGTTGTTGGTGAAATTTTTATTTTTATAGACAACCCGTCGAATAACACGTTGAATTTATATAATGAAATCTAAATTGAATAAAGACAAAATGATAATTTTTGTCACTGTAATAAACCAAATTATCACTTTTGCCCATATCGTATTTTCACATTAATTTAGTCATTGAAGTTGTTTAATTGAATTATTCTATACCCTATTCTTAACTTAAAATCCAAAACCCGATTACCTCTAAACTATAAACCCTAAACATCAACTTAGGATTTTATAATCGAGGGGTTTATTTTATTTTTTATATAAAAGGGTATGAATGAATCATACATTGGAAGGTATTATCGTATGCCTCGTTAAAAACCCACCTTAAATCTAGTCGGAAAAAAAGAGTACATATGATAATACCTTGGTTAAGTGAAAGTTCAAACAAAAACAAGACAACAAAGAAACCAGCGCCGAAGCTGGCAAAACAGCAAGCAAGCATCAGGAGCATGCAATATCAGCTTGTAAAATGGAAACCAAGGACAAGGGAGGATCGTCGAAGACAGTAATCCCAAAGCTAGCAGTGCTGGCATATATGGTAAGCGCATCGACCACCTTGTTCCCTTCGCGACAGATATGTTGAATTTTAACAGTTCAATTACGTTGTCTAAGCTCCATAAAATGCCACTTCAGGTTGTGATTAGCAGAGTAGTCATTACGAATGATGCAATTAAACAATTTTCATGATTAAATTAATGCAAAAATACGATAAAGACGGAAGTGATAAATTGAGTCTACTACATAGACAAAGATGAAAGTCAAAGTCTATTTAAATTATAAATCTAGAAAAATATAAGTTAACCTACTGCAAAAACCTTATTATTGTCATATTATTGAAAATTTACTTAAAAAATCATGTTTTTTCTTTAAATAAAATAATATTCCTGCATTTGATTAATTTCCTCCTATTAATCTCTTCCATTGAAATATCTCTTTTTTTAGCAACAAAAATGGAATATTTCCCCTATTTCTCCATTTTTCCATTGAATTCTTCAAATTCGGATTTTTTTTCTAAAAAAAAATCAATTTTCAACGACACCACCACCATCCTTTATGTTCCATCCCAACAACATTTAATTTCTTTTAATTTATTATTTACCATAATTTTATTTTATTTTATTTTTTGTATATTTTACCTGTGATTTTGTTGTGCAATGGGCATGGGATTGAAACTTGGAGAGGAAGGTGGTGGTGTTATCATTTCAGATGAAAATCTAAAGATGAAAGCTTCAGGCGTTAATACTAATGTTATGATTTTCAGAGCTGATAAAATTGATTTAAAACCCTAGACATGCAGCTAGAGAAGCATCTCAACTCGGTTTGGTCCAAAAGCGTCGACGATCATAAGCCTGCCGACGAATGGGAGATCAATTTGGCTAAGTTGGAGCTGCGGTACGTCGCTCGCGGCACCTACGGCACCGTCTACCGTGCGACGTACGATAACAAAGATGTTGCAGGTACACTTTCACCATCTCTTTTGTTTTTTGGATAAGTAAGAGTTTATTATCGAGAGAAACAGAAGCTACATAATCGTTCCAAAGGGAGTCGAAACAATAATTACAACAAAATAATGGTTAATCTATACCCCATTTACAACAAATATTACAGTTAATAATATCAGTTCTGTTGATATTTTTCCCACTAAGCTTGACCCGAACAATATCTTTGATAGTTGACAGAAGCTGAGCAACCTCCCTTTTCTTTTGTTGGAAAATTCTTCTATTCCTCTCTTCCCAAATCATATATATGTAGGAAGTCCATACAATTTTCAGAAGGATGGAGATCAAAGATTTACCCCTCCATTCATGGCAAGCCCATTCAAGCATTGATTCCCATGACATTTGAGGTTTACGCAAGTGAGTCAAGTTTAAGATAGCTTGCCACAGGTTTTTAGCAAAACTACAATCAACAAAAAGATGGTTCCTAGTTTCGATAGTCTCATTACATAGAACACATTGAGTATCGTTGAGAACTCCCATCCTTGACAGTATTTCCCGAGTTGGAAGTCTGTCTAGGATAGCCATCCAAGCTATCATACTAAACTTGGGTACATGCATAGGGAACCAAATGATTTTGTGCCAAGAAACCTTACTTTTTCTTTCTCTAACAGCTTCCCAGATTTCTTTTGTGCAAATTGTTCGAGTCTTCAGAATGGGAATAGCAAAGTGTCTCAGATTCAGAAGTTTTTTAGTACTCCAACTATGAGCATTGTTAACAACCATATCACGTAAATCATTGTTCTTGAAAACATAACAGTGCAACCAAGCCACCCAAAGGGAACCTTCGCCTGCCAGAATATTACGAATTAACAGCATCATCCAAGCAGTATTCCAGGATTTTAAATTTTTCAGTCCTAAGCCGCCTTCTGATTTAGGAGAGTAAATATTTGACCAGCTAACACGCGCCCCTGAAGCAGCCTGATCAATACCTTTCCACAGGAACCGAGAACAAAACTGATCAATACGGTTAATAATAGACTGAGGGAGCATGAATTGTCTGCACCAGAAATTAGCCACACTGAATAGAACAGTTTTGATTAACTCTAGTCTCCCCGCATAACTAAGCAGTTTATTAGACCAATGATACAACTTTAATTTTATTTTTTCCATAAGAGGCTGACAGTCATGCTGAGAAAGTTTTTTAGTGATTAATGGAACCCCTAAATACCTAACTGGAAGCTGACCAATCTTAAAGCCAGAAATGGAATGAATGATTTCAAGATTCCTAGAGGAAATACCAGCAACAAATAATTCAGTCTTGCTAACATTGAGTTTGAGTCCAGACAAGGAATAGAAATGGTTTAAGACTGAAATGATTCCAACAATAGAGTCCAAATTTCCTTTGCAGAAGATTAGAAGGTCGTCTGCAAAAGAGAGATGGGTTAAACCAATTTTTCTGCATTTAGGGTGATACCCAAAGATCCCTTTAGAAGCAGCAAGATTAAGAATTTTGGAGAGTATGTTCATAGCAAGCACAAAAAGGATAGATGATAAGGGGTCTCCTTGTCTTATTCCCCTTTGACCTTTAAAATAGCCCACTAAGCTACCATTGAAGGAGATAGAATATCTGGCTTCTTTGAAACAAACCTCTATCCAATTTAAGAATGTACTAGGAAGGCCAATGGCTTTGAGAGTAACAGAGATGAAATCCCAATGGAGAGAATCAAAAACCTTATGAAGATCGATTTTAAGAGCACACCTTGGAGAGATAAGTTTCCTTCCATAGCCTCTAACGAGTTCCTGAGCTAGTAGAGTGTTGTCGATAATAGATCTTCCACGAACAAAAGCAGACTGGTTAGGAGTATTAATAACAGGAAGCAAAGTGGACAATCTTTTGACAAGGATTTTGGAGATGGTTTTGTACACCACTGAGCAACAAGAGATGGGTCTATAATCCTTGATAGTACTTGGATTATGAGTCTTAGGAATCAAGGCTATAATCGTAGAGTTGAAAGCTGACAGGATGAATGCTTCTTCAAAAAAGAATCTGATTGCTTTGGTAACATCGTCCCCAACAACAAACCAAGATCTTTTAAAGAAAAGAGGGGTAAATCCATCTGGGCCAGGAGATTTATCATTTCTTTGACTGAATATGGCATCTTTGATCTCTTCGTTAGAAACTTTTTTTACTAAGCCTGAAGAAAGTTCAGCAGGCATGTTGAAGTTAAGAAGATTTTTCAAGAAATGAGGGTCAGTTTGCTGCATATTAGGATTCTATTCTTACTGGCTACTGCATTGTAATGTTGAATGTTGTAGTCAAAGTGTTGGACTGGAGCGGCGGCGGCGCATCCGAAACCGCGGCGATGCATGTGTCGTTTAAGCAAGAGGTCGCGGTTTGGCATAAGCTCAACCACCCGAATGTTACGAAGGTTCCGAATTTTGCTTCTACTTTGTATGTTTACCATGGCATAAAGTGACAGTTAAAGCCTTAATGTTCATAGTGGCGTTGTTACAGTTTGTTGGAGGCTCAATGGGAACTTCCAACCTTAAGATTCCGTTGAAATATCCGTCGGCCGACGGCCGCAATTCCCTTCCTTCTAGAGCATGTTGTGTCGTTGTCGAGTATCTCCCCGGTGGCATGTTGTGTCTTTTGCAATCTCAATCTAACGATAAAATAATACACAATTCTTTTTATTTATTTAGTATTCAAAATCAAGCTACATATCATACCCACATTCAATCATTTTATATTTGTTCTCTCTTAGTTATATTTAATGTGTTTTCTTAATACAATAATAACAATAATGTAAAAATTAAAGACGAAAAAGGTTCAAATTAACAAAAAAGATGTAAAAATTGAAGGTTTTGTTTTTGGTTATGCCTAATTTCTGAATGAAGTAAACATAGAAAATTATTTAAAAGAATGAAATCAAACAATCTGAAAAATAGAGGGACCAATTTGGAACAAGCAAAACATAGTATGCAACACCATTTCACCACAATCAACAAAAAAACACAACTTATTGTTAATCAATCATTCACATTAGAACCAAGACACAACCAAAGACATTGTCAATTTGTCATTACTGGGAAGCCGTGGAGATGGTCTTAACATCCTCACCGGAACCAGCCGGTGAACCAATGTCGATAACCTTAGATTGCCTCTTGGCCTCGTCGGCAAATTTCGGCACGGTGATCGTCAAAACCCCATCTTCCAAATGAGCCGTGACATGATCTAAATCCGCATTCGAAGGCATCCTGAATTGCCTCCAGAATTTCCCATTAGTCCTCTCGGCCGTGTGCCATTTTTGTCCTTCTACTTCCTCCTCCTCTTTCCTCTCGCCGCTGACCCTCAACACCCGGTTTTCTTCGACCTCGATCTTCAAATCTTCTCTCTTCATCCCGGGTATGTCGAGGTCGATGACATGGAACCGTGGGGTTTCTTTCCAGTCGCAACGAGCCAATGACACTGCCATTGTCTCTGTCGCTTTCGGAATGGAAGCGACGTTGAGCGGTGTGTGTTCGAGGATTCTAAATGGATCCTCTGGGATCATCATGTTCATGTCCCACAAAGGCCTTGTGTAGGGCATTAGACCCTTCACTTGGCTTGCCATAACAGCCATTACAAAAACGAAGGCTTTTGTGAGATTTCCTATGGCCATCTTTGTCATGGGAATATAGCAATGAAACAAAATTGCTCAACAGTAGAGGATGATGGGAAACTTTGCTTAGCTTTGGTGATGATTTCTCAATGTGTGTATATATATATATATATATAGGTTGAAGTGGTTTCTTTTGAATTATTCCTTGTTTGTTTAAAGTTCGTAAAAAATATCGGAGAATTTTTTTAAGAAAAATGCGAAGTTTTCGGTTTTTATTTATCAAGATGACACATGATAGTTTAGGATATTATGACTATTTATAAGATAATATTTAAGCATGTAAACGAACCGAACGCACACGAACAGAGGTATGTTCATATTCGTTCATTTAATAAATAAACGAACATAAACGAACACGAACATAAACGAACAATTTTTTTTTTCATGTTCGTTCATTAAGGAATATAGCTTGTTCATGTTCGTTCACGTTCGTTCATTTAAATGATAAACGAAAGTAAATGAACGAACATAAACGAACAACACAAACACAAAAAAACAAACTTATTCGAACACAACAAATGAATGTAAAAAAATAAACAACAAGAACAATAACTTAAAATTCATTAATATAACCTGCAACTTTAGAGTTAATTTGTTCGAATACGACAAAAACATACATAAATCATAAATAAGCTATATGGACATAATAAAGTCTTAAAGTTAATTTGTTCAACAAAACAATCTTCTTGAAATCCAAACAACTTCAATAATCTTCGTAACATATTCAACTTGACCTCTGTTCGAACATAAATGAACATAAATGAACGAACATAAACGAACATATAATCGAACGTTCACGAACGTAAATGAACGAACGAGCCATTTGTTCATGTTCGTTCATTTAATTAAACGAACGCAAAATCTCGTTCATGTTCGTTCATTTAATAAATAAACGCACATAAACGAACTTCCCGCCACACGGTTCATGAACGGTTCACTGAACGTTCAGTTCATTTACAGGCCTAATAATATTTAATGCTTATCAATACCTTTAATACTTTCATTTTAACTAAATTAATTTCCTATGATATTTACTTTAATTTTATTATAAATTAATAAAAGTTTTACGATAATAATAGATTAATATATGTAATAAATTGAGATATTATTTGAAAATATTATGGAAAAAAATAAAACATAAATTTCACATATTTTTTATAAGCTGCTAATTTTATTAAAAATATAAAATATTCAAATTACAATAAAGGTAAAATAACTACAATCGTAAACTAAATATATAATAAATATATTTTATTTTATACAAGAAAACTAACCCTTAACATCACAAAGATTCAATCAAAGAAAGCATAGATTCTGCAATGTTCTCATCATATTAAGGTTTACCCGTAAGCCGAATAGACCCCAATACAAAGTGCTACAAGGAACCGCATCATTCTGCCAAAAATAAAATAAATCCCAACATGAATAAAGAACATTATAATCATCCAAATTTGAGATGAACTGAACTGAGATGGATTGTAAGCTTGCCTTGATGATTCCACCTTAGATTGAAACATAGTAGCTGCAGTACTCGGAACACGTTATCAACTCAGTGTTGAGACTCGTGTAGGGATGACAAACGGGCGGGTCGGGTGCGGATACTCCCTCCCCATCCTTATACCCACATAATATTTTTAAATCCACCACCCGTCCACCATCCATGATGGGTAAAATTTTTCAAATCCACACCCGCCCACGCGGGTACATTCTCAAATCCATCCCCACACCCACTACCCAACTGGAGACATACCCGGCTAGACCCGTCTGACAACAACTTTAAGTTATACATAAACAATAAACATAAAACAAACACGTCCATTAAGAAGCATAATAAAATAAACCAAAGATTATTTGAGTTAAGTGTAAACATAGATCTTAAAATACATAAATTATAAGTTATATCTTATACAATATTAAGATTTATAAATTAGTCTCTAAAATTATACCTAAATTCATAATGGTCCAAAATTTAATGAGTATTTAGTGGGCGGGCGAATGCGGGGTGGGTAAGGTCTCAAACCCATCACCCGCCCACTACCCGTGACGGGTACTATTTTTTAAATCCACACCCGCCCACTACCCACTAAAGTTATATCCATTCTCGCCCCAATTGGAGCAGGTACGGTGTGAAATCTATGAAATTGTACCCGTTTTCCATCCATACTCTCGTGTGAGTAAATAAAAACGAAAGGTGCGAGTAAAAAGGGTTGGTTTTGATTCACTAACCAGTTCGGATTTCTCTTCTTTCGGAATCAATGGCTCACACTCTGTATCAATAAGTTCTATTTTTCTTTTCCGGTTTCAGTCCGTGAGGAGAGGGAAGAAATTAGAGAAATGGGGTAAAATGGGTTAACTACATCCTTAGTCCCTGAAGTCTTTAGGATTTTTGAAATTAAAAACTTTTAGAGTTTATTGACCAAAATAGAAGAGAATAAAATAGTTGAGTAATGAATGGTGTAATTTGACCCAATTTATAACAGCATGAATTAATAAAATTTTGGTCAATGATGGAAAACGCTGGTCAAAAGGTCACATTGGATTATTTTTTCGAGTTGGAGGGTCACATTGATCTAAACAAACAATAGAGTAATAAAATGAGGAATTAATAGTCCGTGTATAATGGACTCCTCATCGATCATCGGGGCGGGTTGGATTTTTTCATCCAAACTTTGGTTTGACTTGGTACATATAGATAATTGTTTAATTTCATAACTCAAAGAGTTGATGATTATAGGGTGTCCAAAATTAGTTGAAAGTTGCATGGAAGAATCCGGTGAAGGCTGGCCTAAGATTGCTCACATCCCCCGTATTGCTATCAGCAACAATGATTCGGAGAGCTCAACTAGAGATGATGAATAGGTTAGGTAAGTGACTAAGTGTACTCTCCTCTTGCACCACTTACTGCTCTTCCTTTCAGCTTTTAATTACATTGGTATATAATTAATGTACTTGCATGTATTGCTAGCTAAGCTAATCATTAATTTATTTCATTGCAGGCGACATTGGCACGTCGAGTAAGGTTTGTGGATGCTTGGTCCTAACCGAATTTCTCCATCTCATGCTTGCTCGTTGCATTTAAACATATGCTTTGTAATTTGATCTGAATCAGACAGATAATGATGTTTGCTTATTTTCTTCTTTTCTATGTATTTAAATGCAACCATCCCCAAGTAAAACTTTGCAATGCATCCTCGACAGGTTAACGCTATGCGTACTCTTTTGCTCTATATTTATCGGCGATCTTTGTTAGAAAGTGGAAATAACATAAAGATATACTCAGTAAAGAATTGTGTTTATTCATATCTAGATGGGTACACTGTTTTATAATAGAGGTTTAGCTAAACATTAACCGCTTAACAAACTAACCAACTCGACTAACCAACCTAACCACCCTTACATACACGTGATGAAACTACAACATTCTAACATTCCCCCTTCTCTTCCTTTTCTCCTTTCAACAGCCTGACATTCCCTCTGCTTTTCTTTTCTTGATCAACTTCAAACAGCAGACACTACACACACACTCTTTCGAAATTCTTCAAAGGCATATTTTGACAATACCTTGGTGAAACCATCTGCAATTTGGTGCTCAGCTGGTATGTAGTTCACTAACAATTGTCCAGCTGAGACCTTCTCCCGGACAAAATGCACATCCATATCAATGTGCTTAGACTGAGAGTGATATATGGGATTAGCACTCATCGCAACAGCCCCTGTATTGTCACACCAGATCACCGGTACTTGGCGTTGTTGCAGCCCGAGATCATTAAGCAAAGCACCAACCCAGGTCACCTCAGCAGCAGTGTCTGCTACACACCTATACTCGGCTTCCATTGTCGATCTTGACAATGTTTTTTGCTTCTTCAAGCTCCAAGCGACAAGACATTTACCAGCAAAGACGCCATAGTCTGAGATCGACCGTCGATAATCGATATTTGCTCCCCAGTCTACATAGACAGTCATCTCCCGGTTGGAACATTAGCCCATAATGAACCGTCCCAGCTAGATATCTCAATATTCTTTTGACAGCAACCATATGTGCTTCTCTCGGAGCATGCATGAATTGGGCGACCTTGCCAACACTATACGCTAGGTCTGGACGAGTGTGGCACACATACAATAGGGAGCCGACTATACTACAGTATTCAGTGGCATTGGGAAGCATCTCTCCTTCATTTGCTGAAAGTTTGGAAGACAGAACCATCGATGTTCCACAGCTGGCTGCTCCTGTCATACCAGACTTTTCCAGTAGCTCAAGGATGAACTTCTTTTGGCTCAGTACAATGGACTCCCGCGACCGATGCACCTCAATGCCTAAGAAGTAACTGAGCAGACCTAAGTCCTTGAGCGAGAACCGTTGTCTAAGAGCCTGTACCACCTCTTGTATTCTATCAGTAGACTGCCCGATGATGACAATGTAATCAACATAAACCAGCACATAGGTATCATTCCCATGTTTCCTACTGACAAACAAAGAAGAATCCGCACAAGATGAGCTAAATCCCATTTCCACCAAGCTGTCTTTAAGTTTGGTGTGCCAATTTCGAGGCGCTTGTTGAAGGCCATAGAGAACCTTTTGTAACTTACAGACGAGCTGAGTTCCATCTGCTGCCAACATCTCAAAACCCGGTGGTTGCTCCATAAAAACGTCTTCACCTAGGTCCCCGTTGAGGAACGCGTTATTGATGTCCACATGCCTGAGCTCCCATCCGTTTGTCACTGCCAGAGCCAACATCACATAGAAGGTGGAGAATTTGACCACGGGGATGAATGTGGTAGTGAAGTCGTGTCCTGGTACATGAGAATAGCCTTTCGCAACTAATCTGGCTTTATACCGATGAATGGTACCATCTGGATTCCGTTTGAGTTTGAACAACCATTTGCAGCCTATGGGAGTGCGTCCTGCTGGTAGTTTTACTAACGACCACGTGTTGTTTCTGCGAAGCGCGTCTATCTCTACTCGAACTGCCTCACTCCAGTTGTCAGACTGCAGCACCTCATGTATAGAAACATGTATATTATGCTCAAAATAGGCAGTGTATGATTTGGGTTTGAATATCCCATACTTACTGCGAGTCAACATTGGATGACAACCTTGTCTCACCGAATTTATAGCACCAGGTTCAGTTGAAATATTATCACATGTATTTGTGGCTGCACTAGCATGCTCGTCCGTGTCAACTACAGCAGGGCCTGTATCAGCATTATAGTTCGAGGTTGTGTCTAAGACAGGAGGAACCTCATTAGAGAACTCTAGCGGGGTCGCAATTTCAGGCACAGTCTGAGTTTGTTTTGCTTGACTTGGAAGAACATCTTCAGCGAAGCCATCCTCAACATGGGTAAAGCCAAACATATTGCGCCACCTTTGTGTATCAGCAATAAGTGGAACACTTTGTGAACGAAAGACACTGGCTTTATGTTGCGTATTGTCTGCCCCTTACCTGCAAATAGAAACACCATTTCGTTAAACACCACGTGACGCGAAATATATACCCTTCCATCATCTGTAAGGCACTGATACCCCTTATGCCTAGGGATAAACCCTAAATACGTGCAAGGTTGCGAGCTAAGGGACAATTTATGAGTTTGAAAAGGTCTTAGGTGGGGAAAGCACTGGCACCCGAAGACCTTTATATCAGCATAAGTGGGTTTCTTGCTATACAACTTATCAAACGGTGATTGCCCTTCAAGCACCTTGGTTGGTAATTGATTGATGAGGTGAATAGTTGATGTCATCGCATAGGATCAGTACTAAATAGGTATGGACGCCTGAGCCAGCAAAACGAGGCCAAGCTCGACTATGTGACGGTGTTTGCGTTCGACAACACCGTTCTGCTCCTATGTATGGGGGCAGGACAAACGATGCACAATGCCGGCTTGAGCAAGTAGCGTAGAGAAAGGGCGATATTCTCCTCCCCAGTCGGTTTGAACTGCCTTAACCGACACACCAAACTGAGTTAATATAAGCTTATGAAACAACTGGAAAACATATAAGGCTTGAGCCTTGTCTTTTAGAAAATAGACCCATGTAAACCTGGTATGCGCATCTACAAATGACACGTAGTATCGAAAGCCGTTAGATGACACGTGTGGGGGTCCCCATAGATCTGAAAAAATAAGCTCAAATGGATCCTTATACACAGTTTTAGATGATTCAAAAGGAAGCTTGTGACTCTTGCCCATAAGGCAGGCCACACAAGTTTTATTAATCTCAGGATCAATCTTTACATTGACTTGATTAGCTATTCTATCTAGAGCATATCGAGCTGGATGTCCTAAGTGACGGTGCCATAGTTCAGACCGATCTCGAGTTACATCTGCAATAGCTACATGAGCAGCAACACCAGATTCTACTCCGAGGGCAAAGGTGTACATACCATCCTTTTCTTCACCTTGCAGCAGGATTTTTCTGGTTGATTCATCTCGAACATAACATTTTCCAGCATGAAACTCAACATAAACTGCATTATCCCTAGCAAGCTTGGAGACAGAAATCAAATTTTTTGTTATACGGGGCATATGTAATAGATCATTCAAAAATAGAGCTCTTGAAGACTCAACACCCGTATTACCAATGTTGTGAATGTCAAGTGACACTCAATTTCCCACAGTTAGTTTACCTGGGCCTCTAAAATCAGCATAATTTGGGATGTTATTAGCGTCGGGGGTAACGTGGTGGGTTGCACCCGAATCCACTACCCAGAGGTCAGCTGATCTGGAAGCCACATTGGCCTGCGCTGATCGCGCAACCGTTTGAGGCTGGCCATTACAGAAATCACACCCTGAATTGGGTGTTTCAATAGTCGAGTGATGAGCACTAGTAGATTGACATTTGTGAGATCGAGGCTCAGCAGTAACACATATGAAATCCTCATCGAATCGGTGCCAACAACAGTCAACGAGATGACCAAGCTTGCCACATATTTGGCATTGAATTCTGGTTCTTCCTCGACCATGACCAGGAGAACGATTTCCTGAGGAGGGACGAGAGGACATGGAACCACGGTTGTCATCTGTGTATTTTGCCTTATGTTGAACAATATTCGCACTCATAGGCAATGAATCCAAGGATTCATCAAATCCAGCTAGCTGAGCTTCAGCATCTAGAAGCATTGTATGTAATTCTTCGAGTGAGAGCATTTCTTTCATTGTAGTGATAACCGCCATGAACGGCTGGTACTCCCTGGGTAATCCTTTAAGTATGCTGGCTATATGGCCAACATGTGGTACTGCACTTCCACAGGAGGCGAGTGTGTCACATACCTCCTTAACTCAGGAAAGGTAGGTCCTCATAGTGTCATTCCCTTTTCTTAGCGATTGCAGCTTGCAGTGCAGTCCCATAGCAGCGGTGGTCGATCTGCTGGAAAACAATTGCTGCACCGTGCTCCATACTGCGGCAGCCGAGTCTACTCCAACAAACTGCGGTAGGAGGTGCGGGCTGATGGTGGAAAGGAGCCACGACGCTAGTGCGCTGTCCTGTGCCACGAACTCTTCAAAGGCATCATTGACAGTCATCTCACCATTGCTATCAAGAACCGTCTCCGGTGGTGGCTTCAAGACACCAGTTAATAGCCGCTCGAGGCGGTGGCTTCGGACTGTGAGTAATATATGTTGATTCCACAACATAAAGTTCATCTCATCAAGGAGAATACTCACTTTCTTGTGTGCAAAATTCTTGGACGACTCCATGATCGTTACCAAGAGAGAGCAGCAGCGAAGGCTTATAATAAATCCCCAGAGCGCCCGACGAAAGATACCATGTTAGAAAGTGGAAATAACAGAAAGATATACTCAGTAAAGAATTGTGTTTATTCATATCTAACTGGGTACACTGCTTTATAACAGAGGTTTAGCTAAACATTAACCGCTTAACAAACTAACCAACTCGGCTAACCAACCTAACAACCTAACCACCCTTACATACACGTGATGAAACTACAACATTCTAACAATCTTGATGACAAAGTTTGGTGGTGCCACGACCAGTCTTGATCAAGATCATGTCATTTCTTGACCTCGAAATGAATCGATAGTTAACAGGGTGTAATCATCATAATGATTATTGCGAACAAGGATAAAAAGTATCATCAAATTTCTAAATCCTTTTCCACTTCAGAACATAATCAAGTCTGTAGGTAAATAGTATTTCTATCAATACTAGTTTTGGCAGCCAAGAAGAATTGTTCCCCATCGATACATGCAAATTAAACGTTCAGAATAGAGGATAAACTCCACAACAAATATCTTCCAGCTTAAGCAACTGCGGCCTCCTTGACGATCTTGATGACAAAGTTTGGTGGTGCCATGACCAATCTTGATCAGATCTCCATAATGCGTTTATCCACTAAATCAATGGCTTCTTCCACCGTCTCTGGTAGTGTCTGTCCATCGTGGCTAGAGAGAAGAAGGATCCATAACCAAATGCTCCCTTATCAACCTTATCAAGAGTGGAATTCTTGGCCCAACAGGTCACCCGCTTTAATTATTTAGCCCAATAGGGCACCTCAAAAATTGTTCTACCAGAAACTACTTACTACTTAATTAAAGAGAGGTCTTATAGGGTCAGGACTAAAAACCAATTAAAGCACTTTGGGGCAGGGCCACTGCTTGTTCCCTTGCATTCACCATAGATTATTTTTATTTACTCGCGTTTAAAATATACATGGATTAAATTACTCTCGATTATTATAAAACAATATCTTTCTAGAATTTTTTAAATTAATTGATAATGCATACATATTCTACGGATACAATTGTTCGAATTCGATCATTAAAAATATAACATTTCTTATTACCGTTTAGACAATTCAATAGGTTATGTATAAAATATTTTACAATTATAAATTTATTGAAATCCTTTAGGAGTAATATTTTTAATTAAGATTTATATGTTACCCTTTAGGGCTAAAATTTACCTCATCTCAATTTCTTAGAATATGTTAAAACGCCGGAATATAATTACATGAAAAATATAATTATCATTTTAATAATTATATTATTTTTTTATAATTAAAAGTTTAGGTCAGGGGTGGCTCCCAGTCCAAGTCCTGGGCATACTTAAGGCTCAATTGAGATTTATATAGGAATTTACAGATTACCCATCAAAAGTGATGATGGTAGGATTCGAACTTGACCTTACACACTCAAATTCTTAAATCCCAACCACTTATGCAAACACTCGTTAGCATAATTATATTATTATGTAATTATATATTTTTTTAATTTTTCTAAATATATTTTCTCAATAATATAAAACCAGAACATACATAAAAAACGGTAGAGTTATAAACTAAGTTCCAGACTATAGTAAGAAATAATCGACAACATTATTGCACACATTAGAGTAGTCCATTTTTTTTAAATGTAGTGTCATAACATGTTTCTGAATTATCTAATTTAAGATATATTTTTAATATTATTATTAAAAAAATAAATAAGAGAAATATTTTAAATATAAATTTATAGTTAAATATATTAAAAAAATAAAAATATGATAATATAAACAAAAATAAATAAATAAATTCGTTAAAAAATATTTTTTGAGTTAAAAACTAAAAAATCATTAAACTCCAAAAACCAAAGCAACAGTCCAGATTGAAGCCGATTGAGAAGCCCAGAGAACATCAGTACCTATATCAAGATTTTGGACCAGAACTTGTCCAAACCGAACAAAGCCTTAAAATAAAATAAAGATAAGAACTTGAAGACCACAAAAGTCATCGTCAACGTCAACGTCAACGTCAACTTTGGATTCCTTGTTTCTTATCTGAAAATAATGCAGCTTCTGCTTCACCAGCAACAACTGCAGATCAAATAACAAGCTTTAGAATTCACTTCAGCTATTATCTCCAACAACCCTTTTTCCCCATCACCTCAAACATGGCCGAGGCTTTTGCAGTCGAAGTCGCAGCAACTGTGTTGGGAAAGCTGAGCAGTGCTGCCTTCCAGGAACTTTGCTCCATCTGGGGTGTCCGAGACGACCTCGATAAGCTTAAGGTTGTACTTATGGATATCCAAGCTGTGCTGAAGGATGCTGAAGAGCAACAGATGCATAACCGGGAGATTACCTTTTGGCTACGAAAGCTTAAAGATGCTTGCTATCAAGTTGAAGATCTGTTGGACGATGTTGAGATTGAAGCACAGAGAAGGAAGGTCCTTGAACGTGGAACCACCGGAAGAAAGGTACACCATTTCTTTTCCAGCTCGAATCCATTAGTGTTTCGTTTTCGTATGGCACGGAAGATAAAAAAGGCAAAGGAGATGTTGGATGAGATTGCAACCACTAAGTCCAAATTTAATCTCCTTGAGAGACGTCCGGTTAAGAATGTGATTCATGCTGACAGGGAAACCTACTCCTTTGTCAAGACATCTAATGTGATCGGTAGAGAAGAAGATGAAAAAAGCATCATACACTTCTTAATGAATCCAACTGATGGGGAAGATATCCCTGTCCTTCCTATTGTTGGAATAGGTGGTATTGGGAAAACTTCCCTTGCCCAATTGGTGTTTAACAGTAAAAGAGTAAATTTTGATTCGAGAATTTGGGTGTGTGTTGCTGAAGATTTTGATATTAAACAACTGATGATTAAAATCATTAAATCTGCCACCGGTATGGACTGCACGAACAAGAATAAGGAGGAATTACAAAAGGTTTTACAAGATTGTCTGAATGGAAAAAGATGTTTTGTTGTCTTGGACGATGTCTGGAACGAAGACAAGAGGAAATGGATCGAGCTGAAAGATCTGTTTTGTGGGGTTGCTCAGGGGAGTAAAATAATTGTCACAACTCGTAGTCACAGAGTGGCTACAATCACAGGCACAATCTCTCCCTATGATTTAGAGCATCTCTCTGATGAAAATTGTTTGTCTTTGTTTCTTAAACTTGCCTTCAAGGAAGGTGAAGAGAAACAACACAAAAATCTAGTGAGAATTGGGACAGAAATTGTTCCAAAATGTAAAGGGATTGCTTTGGCTGTGAAGACATTAGGTGGCCTACTTTGTTCAACCAGGGTAGAACATGATTGGAAAGTTGTGAGAGATAGCGAGTTATGGAAGTTAGAACAAAAGGAAAACGACATTTTGCCTGCTCTCAAACTAAGTTATGATCACTTGCCCTGGTATTTAAAGCAATGTTTTGCCTTCTGCTCACTTTTTCCGAAAGATTTTCTATTCAATAGTGTGGAATTGATCTCAATGTGGATGGCAAATGGGCTTTTGCAATCTTCAAACAAAAGTGAGGAGCCAGAAGATATTGGGAATCGGTATATACATGAGTTGTGGTCAAGATCATTCTTCCAAGAACTTGAAGATTTGCTTTTTGGTTTCACCTTCAAAATGCATGATTTAGTACACGATCTTGCACTATCAGTGGCACAAAATGATGTTAGTTCGACTGGTAATGTACGACATTTATGTTTTGAGTTGTTAGGGCAGGATGCCTCTCTATTGCCGAATAACATGGGCCATTTGCGAACACTAACTTTCCGGTCAAATAAAGAACAGAAGGCTGGTAGTGAACCCCTTATTGATGAATGCATCTCAAGGTCCAAACATGTAAGGGTGCTAGTTTTGGCAGACTGCAGTTTAGATCAATTGCCGAATACTATCCGTCGTTCAAAGCATTTGAGACATTTGAGCATAGCTTTCAATAGAAATATAAAAAGAATTCCAAATTTCGTTTGCAATTTACAGAGTTTGGAAACACTTCATCTTGGTAGATGTGAGGGAATTGAAGAGTTGCCAAAAGATATAAGGTACCTTATTAGCCTTAGAGTATTATACGTAACAACAAAACAGAGGAGTTTGCAAGGGAGTGGAATAGGGTGCCTGACTTCTCTTCGCACGTTGGGATTTTTTGGATGTGAAAATTTGAAATATTTGTCTGAAGACATGCAAAGCCTAACAGCCCTTCGAACATTGATTATCCAAGACTGCAATAACTTGATTTCGTTGCCACAAGGTTTAAAATATCTGACTGCATTAGAAACTCTGATAATTAATGATTGTGAGAAGCTTGATCTCAGTATGGACGTAGAACTTGGAGGGAAAGAAGATGGCAGCCTTCGAAAATTGTTGATTGCAGGATTACCCAAGGTGGAGTCACTTCCCCAATGGATTGTTCTTGGATCCACCAAAACTTTGCAGGTGTTGCACGTCTCAGGATCGGAGAATCTCTCAACTTTACCAACGTGGTTCCAACATCTCATTTCCCTTCAAAAGCTTGAGATTGTATATTGCCCAGGGTTGTCGTCTCTACCAGAAGGGACGCAACACCTCACTGCACTCCTAGAGTTGAGTATTATAGGGTGTCCAAAATTAGTTGAAAGATGCAAGGAAGAAACCGGAGAAGACTGGCCTAAGATTGCTCACGTTCCTCGTATTAATATCAGCTGATGAATAGGTTAGGTAAGTGTACTCTCCTCTCGCACCACTTGACACTGACCGCTCCTCTCTTCTATTTATAGGATCTATTTGTTTGAGGAAACAATTTTTTTTAATGTAAAACATTTTCCTCGTCCACTTCATTTTTTTTACATTTTTGTAGCAAAAAAACTTACATTTTGAATTTTTTTAAATTATTTTCTGAATTTTTTACTTCAAAGTAAAAATACTCAAAATAATATTATTTTATATACATAATATTAATATAATATTTATTAATCATTTTAATAAAAATATTTTAAAATATATTTATTTATAATTTTAATAATATAATATAATATTTTCAATATTATGATAATATACCCACTTATATTATAATAATATATGATATTAAATTCTTATTTTTATAATATATAATAAAATATTACAAAAAATTATATTATTTATTAATTTCATATAAATAATATTATTAAATTATTGATAATGACTAATATTATTTATATATTTAATATTAATACAATAGTCTAGTAATATTTTAATAAAACACATAAAATATATTTACTAATAATTTTCAAAATATAATATACTAATATTTTATTTTAATATTATTTATAATATATTTATTTTAATGGAATATATCAGTCTTAATATTTTATTTAGAAAATTGTAGAAATAATATTTTAACAATAATATTATCATAAATAATATTAAATAAATTATTTTTAATAATTTAATAATAATAATAAATATTTATAATAAATAATATTGTTTATTCTATTCGATATTTGTAATAAATAATTTAAAAAAATTAACAATTAGTAAATAATAATTTATAGAATATCATTCAAACATAGTAAAAAAATAATATATTTATTGCACGCTTAATCACATTGGTATACAATCAATGAATATACTTACATGCCTTGCTAAATGACCATACTGCAGATGGCGGTGGCGCGTGGAGCAGAGTGTTGAGTTAATCAATCGTCAGAATCGGTCAAGAGGTGGTGAATTGGCAATTAAAATTTTCGTGGAAGCTTTTGCAGAAAATTGAAAGTAATTGTACAGCGATTTACAGTGGTTCGACTTTCTCAAACAAAGTCTACGTCCACTACCTTAGTTATCCACACTAAGGATTTTCCAACAAATTCACTAATTTGTTCTTTCTTTTGAGGCCAAAGAGATAACCTTACAATCTCTCAAGAATATACCCAAATTCTTGAGAACACTCTTTTTCCCAAAGAGAAGATTACAAATTTGCAAATTTGCAAACTTACAAAAAAACCTTACAAGGTAATATGTTTGCACAATTCTAGAACAAAGAAATAACACTCAAGAATAAATACAATTGAGCACAATAAGTGTTCTTGAAAGCAAAATGAATATTGAATGAAAATAGACTTGAAATGCTCAAACTTGAGGTTTGATGCTTTCTATTTGATTCTTTCTTGATTCTTGTTTCTTGTTGTTTCTTCTTTTTGATCAATGGCTTCTAAGCTTGTTTAAATACTCCTTGAATCAATTCTGAACGTTGGAGATAATTAGTGAAGATAATAGAGCCGTTTAAGTGTGAAAACAATTAATTTTCTGGGTGGAGCGTCTCATGCATCGATGCATGATCAAGGATGCATCGGTGCATCAGTGTAAAATTCAAATATTTTGACCGTTGGGACACTTAGTGCATCGGTGCACTAATGATGCATCGATGCATAAAATGCATTCGATGTTTGAAAAATAACCTGGTGCATCGATGCATGGAGAGTGCATCGGTGCATGAAATGCATTCGATGTTCAATTAAATCATAGGTGCATCGATGCATGGACTGATGCATCGGTGCATGCCTTTGAAAAATTGATTTAAGGCTTGATTTTGGTTCAAAATACTTTGTGAAAATTGTTTCAAAAATAGTTTAAGTACAAAACATAATTTTACACATTTAGTAAGGATTAAAATTGATCTTGAAAAACTTGGAGTAATAATTTGATATTCAGTTAATTGAATCGAATATAAATTGTAAAATCGTTTGTAAAATCATTTGTAAAATCTTAAAATTCATTTAACTTAATTTGTTATATCGAAATATCAAAAATGTTTTCAACACAGAGTTTGCGGATGCTTGGCCCCAAGTGAATTTCTCCACGTTATGCCTGCTTGTTGCATTTTAAAATATGCTTTGTAATTTGATATCTATGACCATGAGACAAAGACAATGATGTTGCTTATTTCCTTTTGTGTATCAAAAACCGTAACATCCCCACGTAAAACATTACTCTTTCTGCAGCTATAAAATCACATGAACTGGCACAATGTTCAACTCTTAATGCCTGCAACAAATAGAAAAAGAATCATATCATATTCATCCATCGATCGAGAGAGCACGTCATTTCTTGAACTCGAAATGAATCGATAGTTAGCAGGGTGTAATCATCATAATGATCATTGCAAACAATGATAAAAAGTATCATCATATTTCCAAATCTTTTTCCACTTCAGAACATAATCAAGTCAATAGGTAAATAGGTTTTTTCCCCTATCAGTACATGCAAATTAAAAGTTCAGAACAGAAGAGCAAGTCCACGAAAAATATCTTCAGGCTGAAGCAATGGCAGCATCCTTGACAGATTCACGCCAGGCATACTCTCTTGCTCCATCCTTGTCGACGATCTTGATGACAAAGTTTGGAGGAGCCACGATGTCATTGTTAACAGTAGTAGAAGAGAGGAGGAAGCAGGTGAGAAAGGACCAAATTCAACATTCTCATGGCACACAGTAAAGAACTAAAAACATCTTTCTCATACACGGATATCTTCTGTATGTTCGAAGGCACTTAAAGGCAACCAAAATACATATACCTGATGCAATCACCAAAAGCTTGAAACTGAAAATCAAAATTTTAAATGAAAACTATTGGATAGAGTTTACTGCAGTGAAAGGACACAAGATATCCACATCATGGTTCAAGACAAAAAACATAAGTATCAAGTTCTCTTCATGAATTTGTTAAATCAATTTGGTTGAACAAAGGTCATGAGAAGAGGAGTTACATTCAATTCATATACAGTGTACAGATCTTAACACTGTCAACGAATCAAATCATGATTCCTCCTTGAAAATAAAATTATCTATACTTGTTTCTCAAAAATTTTAATGAGATAGCATCATTTGACTCACTGACAGTGTATATACCCACAATCAGTGCATAAAATATGAACTCTAAAAATAAACATAGACAAAACCTTAGAACTGAAGGAACTTCAGAACTAGATTTGCAAGAGTCCAGGACCTTAAAGCGCAATAAGTGCACTGAGCACCAACACGAAACAGTGAACCAGAAAAGGAAATAACAGAGGCATCAAGAACAACAAGATATTCTAATTCAACATTGGAACTCCAAAACATAATAAAATATTTTCATTGTACTCAAAATTCCTTGGACTGTTCTAACCTGATCTTCCGCAAAAACAACAAGGATTGATGTCATAAAGCTTCCAAAGGTGTTCTACCAAAAACTGCATCCTACTTAATTGAAGAGAGGCGTCACAGGGTCATGATTCATGCAATGAAAGTATCAACTCTATTCTGAACCATTGTCAACTTAACATGGTATTATAATTATCTACTTCCAAGGATTCCCGTTAAAGCAAGCACAAATGATTGTTTTGGGGAATTCCGAGACTACAAATACCCCTTTAGGATAAAGCTTGAACATGTACTTTCTTTCGGTTTTCATAAAATTCTCTCGGGTTTTTGTTAAAGTTCTTTTATTTTGTTTAGGCCAGCAGAGAAAGAAAGTGGTTTACAAGCAAGTTCAGACTCTCCGGTGGGTTAGCTAAGCAGTTCATTTAACTCACCTGGTAGTAGAAAGCAGTTACTATTACCTACGGATCTCCTGAAAATTGGCTATAACTAAAAATTCAGCTCAAAATGAAAAGCACAGTACAGATTCTTTCCACACAAGCTTTTCAGCTTTATATCGGGAGGTTGAAAAGAAGTAATATTGTCCTCACATATTTCAGGGCATGGTAAAGCTTTATTGTACACGGCGATTACTACAATTCTAGAAGCCTAAAATCTCCAACTCATCAAACCTTCTCTAAAATTCCAAAAAAAAAATCAGCTAAAAGAATGCCAACATAAGTTCTAAATTAGTAATAATCACAACACTATTAAAACCCTAACTACAAGCCAGAAAATTTTATACCTTCCTTAAGGCAGTGGCAAGCTCACCGCGAGTGAAATTAGCAGCAGCCACAGTCGTCAAAGGAATACCGTTTCGAAACTGACATAAAGCCACGTTTTTCTGTATGTACTCCGTGAACTGTACTCTGTATGAGAAACAGAAAGTTACAAAAAAACAATAAAATTTTATTATGACGAATAAATATACCTAGATTTATACGGAATAAAAAAAGAGGGGAACCTGTCGCCGGGTTCACCGCTAGCGGCGATGAGTTTGTGAGAATCGAGGATCATGATCTTGTCTTCATTAGATTTGTGGACGAGGATGCTGTGAACCGCAGATGAGTCCGCCGCAACGACGGCGAAATCACTGCCTACTAAACCGAACACGCACTCCATTTTCACTTCGATCTGTTGATCTTTTAGAGTTTTTTCTTCTACCTTTGGGATTTCTGGTTTCGTCTGTTTATTTTCTGTATTGAATGGAAATGTCTTGAGGAATAAGTCGCTCAGAGTGGCAAAATAGTGAATCTTGGTGAAAATCTGGGGTCTATTTAGTAATTAAAAGAACGTGTGGGATTTTTGTTTTCTAATGTTTAAAAATGTAAAAGATCCCTGTACTATTTTAATATTTAACACCAAGTCTTTTATTTTTGAAAAATTGAGTTCCAATACTATTTTTATTTAAAAATTCTAGTCTTTCAACTAAATTTTGTTCAATTATAAAATGATAAAAACATATGTAATTATTTTTACAAATTTTATCAATTTAATTTTAAAAAATTTAAACATAAATGATTAAACCATTATAATTCAATTGAATAATATTTTATTTATTTTATTAAATTGATAAAAGAAATTACCAATGTATGACATCAAAAAAATATTTTTTATAGCTTTTGAATCTATAATTAATAGTAAAATTAAATAAAAATTAAAAACATATTTTAAAATAAAGATAGTATCAAAACATAATTTTAAAAAATAATATAAAAATAAATTTTAAAATTTAAAATAGTATAATAACATTTAACATATTTAAACCTTTTCTAATATAATAAGTCAAGAGGACCAATGAGGTTGGTTCAAGTTGTAAGCAGTTTGATATTGACTTAACAAGTCTGAAGTTCGAGTCATTGTGTATGCAGAAAATCCTCGTTGTGAGACTCACCCAACAAAACTAAGTGTACGACTTGGGTCGATCTAGATTAGTCAAAGTGAATCCTTAGAAACCGGGAGAGCAACCAAGAAAAATAATCGACCCAGAGGCGGTCTTCTCATTTACATATATATTTGATAATAACTGCACTGCATTAACTATTAATAGCATCCAAACAAAGGACATCAAAAATGCACATATGAAAGTCGTAACTTGTAAGTATAAAACGCAGAATGAGAAAGAGATAAAGCATATTGTGCTAAACTATATGAAGCAGTATTTGCCGATCGCCGGATACAACGAACACAGAAAGAGACATTCTCCTGCAATATACGTCTAGTGACCATTTTGTCACTCACATTAACATGCCATATCAGCTTTTTGTCACTCGCATTAACGGTTGTTAACGTCTTGTAATCATTTTATAACAAACGATAACATTAATAATCAATTTGTGACTTTTCAAACACCAGTGATAAGAACATTTACTCAAATTTTAGTAACCATTTGCTTAGTTTACCCTTAAAAAATTTCAACATTAAATATTTTTTCAAAAAGTAAATTAGATATAAAACTATTGTTTAATAATTTATTTGATGTTTTAGTAAAATTTAAAAATAAAAACTAAATTTTAACTTTTTTTATTAACATTCTCATATCATAAATTAACGAGGAAGATGATAATATTATTTTGTCATAAATCGATAATATTAGTGATCAATTTGTTATTTTTAAAACTTCACTAGAAAAAACGAAAACTTACTCAAACATTAATGACCATTTGTTTAGTTTACCCTAAATTTTAATTAAAAATAGTCAAGAATGATGGAACCTGTTCAAAATTTAAACACAAAACAAATGTCAACTTCGAACCAACACGAGTCATTTACCCTACTTAGAAATACAGCTTCTCACCATGCCAAATGCAAGAAAGAATCACAACGGATATAATTCACACATAGACATTGCTACCATTAAAATGGTTAGTCGTTACAAACAAACCATTTATAAAGGATCTTAGCTCGGTTGGTCGACATCGTATCAGTAGTTACAATCTCCGGGTTGCAGTCATCGTTCATCCATAGTAAGCCTGCTGATATGCTGGTGCCAAGCCATTACTGTAACCCCGTATGCAGCAGGATAGTTCATGGGAGCTCCGGGGTAAGAATTGGCCAGGGGAGGAGGGGCTGCTTCTGGGGAGTACACATAAGGACCGACGGGTGGGGTCCTGGATCCATACATCATACATGGCAGGTGGGGATGGGTATGCTGGTACTGCGGTAGGGTATTGGGGGTGTGGGGGAGAGCTGAAAATTGTAAGTGATGCTGGACAAGACGAGACGTATGCATTCGTTGAACGGCCGGCTTTAGCTGGAGGCATCGGACCGCCATTGCTGGCCCGTGTTCGTTTGTTAGCAGGAACTGCAGCTGGCTTTCTCTTCTCTGTCTTGGTCTTCTCTAACTGCTCGAGGCGTTTCTTGAGGTTTTCAGGGGGAAGTTGTGACTCGAGTTTGTACTCTTCGATGCACTTTATCACTGCCCGAAGTGCTGATTGCTCTTTGCGTGCAGCAAGTTGCTGCATAAATCAAGAAGAAATACTACTTATTAACAGAAATGTAACAGGTAGAAATGAAGCCAAGCACTCTGCTTGCAGCAAAATATGGCATCAAAATTTCGAACTTAAAAGAAATGGATAATAGAATATCATTAATAATAAAGACTAAAACAAATTATCCATATCACTAAAGAGTGGTATACCGCTGCCCGACCAGCATTATCGGGATCTTCCAAAATAGATGACGCTGCCTTCCTTGCATCCTTCAAGAAAGCTTTCAGCAGCGGCACAGGGGGAAACTTGTCCACAAGGCGGACTTCATAAGTGAAATGAACCGCATCTACGTGCTGTCCCTTGCTAATCAATTCTTCAATCATGTCTGCATAAAAGAATTTAAAGGCATTAGAAATTCAATCTTATAATTGTAATTTAATGGATCAATTCCAATTTACTACGGAAGAAACCCATCGAGAGCATCAACAAAAGTGTTTTCAATGAAATGTTGACCATGTTAAGGATCAAAGGGTGTTATAGACATTTAAAATGACATACAAATCAATTGCCCTAATCAAAGAAAGATACAAATTAGACATCAAATCTTGTTTGAGTAAAACATGTTACATCGATTTGGTTGCAGTACTAAGACTTTGGAGTAACATTTTTCTTAGTAATACAACTCCATGAATCTAGCAGGTAAACTATTCACTGGACACAGCACACGAGTCCCATAATGCTAAAACAATCATCCTCTTACGACATATCGTATATCTCCCAAAACATCAAGCGACATGATGAAAAAGAACATGTATACAAAAACATACATACATGTATACCAGGCAAATCACCGACGAGTAACTACATGCAAACACGAATCACCTCCAGAGTATGTAATCTTACAAAAGAGAAGACAAATGCTTTACCAACATGTTAAGTTAGTAGCACCCAAGTAACATCCTTGAGTAGTTTAATAATGTTTTTCGACTAAGGCTCAAATCCTTCATCTTCAAGGAGTATCCATGGCCAGCCAAAATTCGACCAACATTGTATCTAATACTCGAGCAATATTGATCATGAAATGCCTATGTTAAAACCCTAAGTCCTACAATACAAACTCCTCTAATAAGCTCCTTGCACCATTTTTGAAACACTTACTAGCTCGAACTATAATCGTATGGAAGTTGTAGAAAAATATAGCTTAATCACAAGACGAAAACCGCATTACCAGGCATTGTATCACTGAGGCCAAGCGAAACTGCAAGTTTAGGCATTTGTTTCCTCCAAGCAGAGCCAATAACAAGCTTCCTGTAAAGTTCCAGATCCTCTTTGTTAACAATTCCAAAGGTAATCAAATGTTGAAAAAATGTATGGACATCTGGAGTCTTCACATTGTCAATCCCTCCCCTCTCTTCGAGGCTTCTTTTCCATCTCTCAGCGATTGCTTTAGCCTTGTCTTTCACACTTGGCGTAACCAGCATCCTCGATTTCCCGATCACCGGATCGAGCACCACCGGTATCAAGCTTTCTAAAATCAGAACACAGGCCCATCCTAAATCATTTCCTCCCTCGCCCCCTCTTTTGTCCACCGGAAACACATCCGATATGGCCTCCATAACGAACGCCGCTGGATCGATGCATTCCGATAAAGCTGCCGGAATTTTCTCTCTTAACAAGTCAATTTCTTTCTTTCGGACAATCACGAAGTTCCAGAACACATTAGCATCCATTCTCAAGCACGTTGACTTCAAGAGCTGCACAATGCCGTCGCCGTCATCTACTTCGCCGTCCGGATTGCCTTCGAGGTCGTCTTCGTTTAGGGATTTCAGAGCATAATTTTTTAGTAGTTCGACTTGGTTGATTGCAATCTTGACGCTGTCATCGATGCTGTGTTCTCTCCTCTTGAGTGAGTCGAGTGAGGCCTTGGTGTCCGAGTCCAGTGTTTCGATTTTGCGTTTCAAGGATTCCGATTGTCTCATCAGATTCCTCTCAAGTGAGCTAATGTGATCGGAGAGTTCTTTCCACGTGAGAGTGCAGCCCGTCATTAGAGATGTTCGATGCTGGAACTCGTCGAAACTTGGATCAGTTAACTCTGTCAACTCGCCCGGATCGGGGATCGACCCCATGGTGAACTTATTTCTGTCTTCGTTGAACTCGTCCGGTGACTCCGTCGCTGAGACTAATGGAAAGAAAAGAAAGAAGAAATCCGAAACCCTATCAATGGAGGAACGAACGAAGGTAAGAGCCTAAGCAGATAATAACGTGGATCTTTGAGAAAAGAACACGTGTTGTGGCGACTTAGAAATTGAAAGGGTTAATATAAAAAATAAGTGACTAAATTAATCTTTAAAATTCATTTTTAGTGTTTAAAAAATATTTTTATTAAAAATATATTTAATATTTTTTCTGTTAAATTTTAAATATTTATTGTTAAAAAGGTAATTAAGTGACACGTATTATACTAAGATTTTTTTTAAAATTTAAATAATATTTTTAAAAAAAAATTAATATATATATATATATATATTATGTGTGTCATTTCACGAGTTTTTTTAAAGATACATATATAAAAATATAACGAAAAAAATATTAACCATATTTTTTTACAAAAAAATAATTATTAAAAATAAAATTTAAAAATAATTTAAACATTTATTTGTGTATTAAGCCAAATTAAATGCACCACCAGTGTACAGGATAGCCGGTGCGCACTGAGTTGGATTCGTTTGTTTTCCTAAAGCATCCTTTTAAATTGCTAAAACTAGACATAATTTATTTAATTTCGTTAATGATTTTTTTGAAAAAATGTTTAATTAAGTTAACGGT